TTACGATGCCTAGAGTACGGAGACCTGTACGATTTCGTCAACTTAGTGAGTTTGATAGGGGCCGTATAGTGGGAGTTCGGGAAGCTGGACTTTCTTTTCGGGCAATTGCAGTTAGAGTGCAAAGAAGTGTAGACACTGTGGTTAGGTGTTGTCAGGCATGGCTTCGAGAAGGCCGTACGCAAAGAGCAAGGAGCACTGGACGCCGCCGTAGAACAACAGACCGTGAAGATCGCCGCCTAAGATTATTGGCCTTAAGGGACCGTTTCTCCACTACCAGGTCCATAGCAAATGAATGGTTTGCAGAACACGGAAGACCTATTGGCATGCGAAGTGTTTACCGACGAATGAGAAGCTTTGGCTTGTTTTCATACCGGCCACACTGGGTCCTCCCTTTAACTCGAGAACACCGACGTAATCGCCTTGAGTGGTGCAGACAACGGTCACTCTGGGATCAGGAAAGGAACAGTATTGTCTTTAGTGACGAGTCTCGATTTTGTTTAGGCATGCACGATGGTCGTGCCAGGATTAGAAGGCGACGTGGTGAAAGGAGGAATCCACAGTTTTTTGTTGAAAGACATGTTCATCACACTGTTGGAGTTATAGTTTGGGGTGCTATAGCTTATGGTTCCAGGTCACCTTTAATCTTCATCAGAGGTAACATGAACGCGCATCGTTATATCCACGAAGTTCTAGAACCCCATCTTTTACCCTATCTTGACACCCTGTCAGATCCAACTTTCCAACAAGATAATGCCCAACCACATGTTGCAAGAGTCACAATAGACTTCTTTCAACTTAATGATGTCACATTGTTACCATGGCCACCAAGATCTCCCGACTTATCCCCAATTGAGCACGTGTGGGATATGATGGGTAGGAGATTGCTCAATTTGCAACGTCCTCCTCAGACTCTAGAAGCACTTCGAGAGGAGTTGGTGGTTGCCTGGAATGAGATACCACAGGAGGACATGGACCACCTGATCAGAAGCATGCCTAGGCGCGTTGGAGAATGCGTAGCACATCAGGGTGCATCCACACATTATTAAAGGTCAAAGGGCTTTAAAGCAGTGCAATCATTTTGAAATTTTTATCATTTACTTATTATGCTTCATTAAGTACTTATACAAAATTTTATTAAAATAAAACCATTTAAACTGGGTGTTCGGCTTTATATGTCACTTAGTATATTTAAGGGGATACAGTGTAATTTGGAGAGATTCCATTAGAGCCTAGAATTGTAAATATTGACTGATGGTTTTTTCTTAAAAATAGAACAAAGTTCGTAAATGCTTAAACCATCTGGAATAAGACACAAAACGTGAAATGCTAAATACTATTATGTCGGGGAATTATTTAAAAAGTTAATTTTTTAAAACTTTCTCCAACAACTCCAGTGTAGTATAGTGTTCGATAACGACGAAAATATAAATTTAACATTGAGAAAATTTAAAGTATTGGGGAGTTTTCAAAAACCCCTGAACAGCTGCGATTTCGAACAAGATCCATTTTTACGTAATTCGTGTGAGGAGATCACGGCTGTTCTGCGTAGATTGGAGATACAGTTAGTAGAACTCAGAAAAGCCTTCTCAGGTCGATTGTTCCATAATCTCGGTACCCTAGGGACAAAGCTCTGGACATACGACACGGAGGTCGAAGTCAGGCGGGTCTGTCTGGCAGGCACATCGTTCGGCGACATCATGGAGGAGAGCTCTAGCGGTAGAAGAGAGCCAGATCGCCGACAGATATGTTCAGTACTCGGAGCTATTAAGTTATCGATGATCCACACTGCGACCAGCCAAAATGAACTGCGTATCTGAAATCTCGACCAAAACCCGTACCTTGGGTAATTCGGTTGCGTAGGTCACGAATCTGATGTATCCAGGTCACATTTTTTAAGTCAACGAAGGAATATTTTGTTCCATTTGTTCTATGTAGATGCTGCCAGGACTTCCGCGTATAAGAAAAAGTCAGGCAAAAAATATCTGTTGACTATATTCCAAATTTTCTTCCATATCTTGAGCATAAACTATAGTTACTGCTCAAAATTCATAAGTCACAAATAATATGGTGCGGAACTAATTAAAACCAAAAGTAGAACAAGTACCGCAATAATACAATAGTATATAATAGAGTGTTTAATATAAAGCTGTTATTATGCTAATTTTATGGCAACATTAGCATAGATACTATTTCCTGATGATGTATATCCATATTTTTTGCTAATAATTCTAAACGGTACATGAAACGTTCAACATTTTTGTGTTTTACTAATTGCAACTATTGTTTGCTAATTATGTCTTACTTTACACACCCTCATAATTATTGTGTATATGCATATAGAGCATATCATAGAAATATGGTAAAAAAATGTTTACCAATTCATTAAAGGGCGAAGAAGAATTAATATGTACGTACTATGGCCTAAAAGACATCAAGCCAACATTTTTCCTTCAATAGCACCCCTTCCAAAATGATACAGGAATGGAAATTTGAAAAAACAAAAGGCTAAGAAAGACTACATTTTGATTTAGTGGGAGAGGTACATTTAGCCCTGCATTGAGTTTCTATAAAGGAGGTGAGTAATATTGATTCTCATACCATTTTACATTTTATCATTTGCAGTATTTAAGGTGCAACGACGAAGTCATTTTTAAATCTGGGAATAAATCTCGCACCCCTAAGTGACGAATTTTGAGACATATGACTCAAAGGCAAACATTTACCTTTTTTGATGTTTTAAGCTGAACATTTCGACAAATTATAAAATCATCCCCAAAGCAATATAGGTTTAATGTTCCCAAAATAGGCTAATATATGTAGAAACGATAACAATGCATTTTGTGTTAACACAGAACGAATTGAGGTCAGTGATGCTTCAACGCATGTTGTGGCTAAGCTTGCAGCAGCCCAGTTTCCAAAGCCATAGCCGAAGACTACTCGATAATTTTCGCGTATTCTTGGTGGTCCTATTAGTATTCCCGCTTGGAACTAGACCATTATTTTGAAATCTGAACCTGTTTCTTATTTGCTCGTTAAAAATCAATCGGTTATTTATGCACTGTTCGATGGACCACACCATCTAGTTGCCTTGCCACACTGACGTTAAGGGAGAGATACAGTGTCGGATCAGGGTCTGTTTTCAGGAAGGATAAGTTTCGCCAGAGATAAGAAGATGTTTTATTTTCCACGCCACTGGCGAGACAGTATTAAAAGCGCGGAAAAATCCACATCCACATCAGGAAAAACCATTTACGTAGACCTATCAGTCGGTCTGTATGTTTGTCCGCTAATCGTTGGCCCATCTATAGCTTGGAAAGTACTGCTCAGATTTTGATGAAATGATCGGACAAGCTAACCACTATACCAAGGTCGAAAAAGCTTGGAAGCTTTTTAAAAATTGATCATTATCAGAAAAAATCTGTAGCGCTTGAAAGTTGGGGATTGGTGGTTGTAGGAGGTAGGCGGCTGCAAATATTGCATCTTTGGTATCTGTGAGAGACGTTCTATTATTCCATATTAGCTCGCAGACAGCCAGACAGACATGCATGGTTTTTGATGACGTTCACCAATGGCGGGGAAATAGAAGATATACGATGCGCGGGTTTGAATTTTTAACAAACTGCTTTATGATTTGAAGAATCACCGTTTCCAGACTATTGAATAAACACTTCGCTGCATCAAAATAAAAAAAATGGTGTCGAGTAGGTTGACTCCCACCGAACGCCGTTCATCAACGAATATGTTCAGCACAAGTTGGACCCGCTGAAAAACAGGTCCAATTTAATAAGTCTATAGGCATTATTTGTCTGCCCTACTGGTAATACCGTCCATCTGGCAAAGTCGCATCTCTCCGATACCTGACCGCAAGATGCGTCAGACGCGGCAGCGAGGCACAGTTGCGGTAATGCCAGGACGTTCACCAAGACCAGAACACTCGCCGGAGAACCCAGAGAGCGGAATCAGAGACGCGCATCGAAAACGTTTTTCTATCACTCCAAGCCTCCCTTAAAAAATCCTCTGAAACGTCAAAAAACGAAGTATGAGTAAAATTTTTTCTGTCGTCACTGAATCGATTTTCCAAAATTTCAAAGTTTTTTCGTTCTTGTATAAAAATTTCATCCAAATCCGGCCAGAACTATCCAAGCAAAAACGTTCCATAGTTCAATAACTTTAGTAATTTTCCCTCAAAAATTGCGTATCGCCGTCCATGAGAGCAGTAGCATGAAAAAAATATGCAAATATGCAAATCGCAATGGACGAAATATATGCTTCTGCAAGCAACACTTTAATTATGAGATCCAATGATCGTAATTTTTTCTCCATGTTTTAAATATGCCAAACCGATCGACCCGAAGGAAACTTAAAATGCAAGGCAATTTTATAATTTATAATTTTGATTCTCACGCAACGATCGTTTTTTCCCACGCCATACTTTAAAAGTTGTACGTCGTACCGAATAAGTCACCGCCTCATCATGAACAAACAAACCAAAAGTAGGTTCTAGAGACGTGAGATCAAAAAAATGTGTTCTACAGAAGCAGTAAGAAGATTGGTGTTGTTTTTATCGATCTTGTGTCATAATTTAGATTTCGTTTGCCATATGCATTATGGCAATCTGTTATTATCGAGATTGTAAAATCATGTAAAATGAGCGAGGGTGTATCTGGGAAGGGGGGTTCTGGAAATCTTGGGAATCATGACCAGATGATTGAATCGAGTTCCACCGGTTGCCGCCAAAAGCCACCTCCCTCCTCGCGCTCTTCAGTTATCATGAAGGCGTTCACCCAAGAACCGAAACGTCGTGACCATGAATCCTACTACCATTACTCCCCCACCGCCTCCAGACAGCCATTGTGTCTAAATGGTCCCCCCTGCAACTCAAAGGGCTCAAACCGCCTCAATCTTTTTCGTTTTGCTTTTTTCCGTTCCTCCATGGAGCACCAAACTTTAAGATGCCCAGGGCCCTGAATCTGAAAATACTCTGTTGAAAATCGGTTTACCTTCTACTAATTCCAAGCCAACAGGACTTTGGCAAGTCACTCCACAAGGGTTTAGACAACACTTCTTCAAGCCGTTGCAATGCCTGTCCATCTTGCATTCTTCTATACATGCAGCAGCAAATGGGGAGAATATGCTATTGCTTAGAGGACAACTTCCTGGTTTCAGCGTGTTGCGATTCAGGCATGTCTTCAAGCACTGAAAAAATATATCAAATGAGTATTTGAATGCAGAAATAAGTGTACTTTAAACTGTACTTAAACTGTAATATTTATGACTAATAAATTTAATAAAGTGGAGACTTTTTGCAGATATGTGATGGATACAAACAGGTAAAAAATCACTACACCTGGCAACCATAATCAATTTGTAAGCACATCGACGATGGCGTGAAAATAACAGGATTGCGTGACTCTGGTTGCCTATAAGTTCAGCTCGATCAAATATAAATAAAATATGTAGTGAATTTTTCGGCTTGGTAACACTGCATGTCCATTAGTGCACTATTGAAAATTGATCCCCATAAGAAAAAACCTTTTCGCGCGCATCTTTAAGGCTGTGAGAATTTGATAAAAATTAGAGAAGAGCGGTTTAATTTGATTGAAAGGAGATGGTAAGTAGTAAGCATCATAGTTATCTTTATCTAGCCGTAAGAGTTAAACATAAAAATATATATTCTACATCATATTTCTCGACACTGTTTATTTGTAACTCATCATGATGGTGTTGTCTTAGTTTAGTCATGTACAGGGTGTTTTCCAAACATGGGACAAGAATTCAATGGGTGAATATTGGGACTAGTCTGCAACTATTTATTGTATTTGATCCTATCGATCTGCGAAACACCTCTTGATTCCGGAGGAATAGGTTTTTCTTAAATGATTTTTACATATCGTCGCTTAAGTTTTAACAACGCGTGACTCAAGAAATGTCACCATCAAGATATTCATGTCATTTGATAGGGAAACCAAAGATCCACCGTTTGTTTTGCTCTTTTAAAAATTTGTCAGTTTTGAGTTACGCTGCGATAGAACTTATGCGACGATATAATCCACCGAAAACCGTTAACTCATTTAGTTCGTCAAAGATCGACTAGCAAAGTATTGCTCATGTTTTTCCGCCTTTGTATAATAATGACTTAAAAATAATAGTTTTGTAGATTGGAACGTGCCTCGATAGTGTTGACTGTTCCATCTACATCAATGTACCTGCGGTTGTTTCAAGAAATTTATTCATGTTTGATTTCGATGATATCAAACGTTTTTAAGAAAAAATATCCGTGCTTTTTCTGTTATGAGTATTTCCAAATTTTCAGAACGGGGGAAGCAGTATTCGGGATCGGATCCATTATTTATAAAATTTTACCAAAATAATGCCCCTCCCTTTGCCCTAGGAAATTTTGTTTTTCTGAAATGAATTAGATTTGGCAATTTCAATGTATGACATATGATACCTTTTTGAAATCAGAATTAAAAAGTCTATTCATGTGCGCAAAAATTCAATATAGCGTCCATAAGAACAATAAAGTTAATGCTAGAGGACAAATAGCGAAACATCATATTGAAATTCTAATTCTTATACAGAAGAAAACGTGGCAAGTGCAATATATTTTAACATCCCACTACAATCACAGTCAGAAAGGAATTCACATTTTAGTATTTTCTTGTTATTACAATACTTCACCAGTTGACATCATATAATAATTAAAAATATTACTGTTACTAGGTCATGATTTATTTCTAGCAGAAAATATGAGGACCCCATGAAGTCGTCGATTCTTGCATACATGATGCCTAGCGGTTAGGTTAAAATGAGCTCATACCAAATTCTGACTTGCAAAAATAAGCTATAATAACATAGAATAAATAACATGTAAATGTTACTCGCGACATATTTATTACTGCATGTGGGTACCGTCCCGTGTACTTATATGTATGCTTTTGTATAATGTCCTTTAACAACCATGGATCGAGCATGCTAATATTCCACTTTTTAAAGAGTACACAGCTGTGATTTGTAATGTTTTTGTGATTTACAGGGTGTCCTTATCCAATCATGCATCAGGCGATAGCTACGCCCCATAGCGGTAATCGAAGAGCGTCAAAACAAAATATAAAGTAAAATATCTTAGAATCGTCTCATATGGTACATTTAACACAACTGTTCACAGCATAAATCCTTCTTCTTAACCAGTAGTACTTGGAAATTGTAATTTAAGCCTATTTCTCAATATATACTAAGTGACATATAAATCCGAACACCCAGTAATGGTTTTATTTTAATAAAAGTTGGTGAATGTATTTATCTTACTGTAAATAACAAGTGAAAAAATTTTCAGCCTTATCAGTTGGACATTCCGGTTTTTATACTGCTTTTTTTTAATTCACTAACGCTCTAAAAATGAATATTTCAGCCGCAGTAAAGAATCAACGTTGGCGGATTTTGGTTCTTGACATCCTTTACGATCGCTTACGATGCCTAGAGTACGGAGACCTGTACGATTTCGTCAACTTAGTGAGTTTGATAGGGGCCGTATAGTGGGACTTCGGGAAGCTGGACTTTCTTTTCGGGCAATTGCAGTTAGAGTGCAAAGAAGTGTAGACACTGTGGTTAGGTGTTGTCAGGCATGACTTCGAGAAGGCCGTACGCAAAGAGCAAGGGGCACTGGACGCCGCCGTAGAACAACAGACCGTGAAGATTGCCGCCTAAGATTATTGGCCTTAAGGGACCGTTTCTCCACTACCAGGTCCATTGCAAATGAATGGTTTGCAGAACACGGAAGACCTACTGGCATGCGAAGTGTTTACCGACGAATGAGAAGTTTTGGCTTGTTTTCATACCGGCCACACTGGGTCCTCCCTTTAACGGTCACTCTGGGATCAGGAATGGAACAGTATTGTCTTTAGTGACGAGTCTCGATTTTGTTTAGGCATGCACGATGGTCGTGCCAGGGTTAGAAGGCGACGTGGTGAAAGGAGGAATCCACAGTTTTTTGTTGAAAGACATGTTCATCACACTGTTGGAGTTATGGTTTGGGGTGCTATAGCTTATGGTTCCAGGTCACCTTTAATCTTCATCAGAGGTAACATGAACGTGCAGCGTTATATCCACGAAGTTCTAGGACCCCATATTTTACCCTAACTTGACACCCTGGCAGATCCAACTCTCCAACAAGATAATGCCCGACCACATGTTACAAGAGTCACAATAGACTTCTTCCAACATAATGATGTCACATTGTTACCATGGCCACCAAGATCTCCCGACTTATCCCCAATTGAGCACGTGTGGGATATGATGGGTAGGAGATTGCTCAATTTGCAACGTCCTTCTCAGACTCTAGAAGCACTTCGAGAGGAGTTGGTGGTTGCCTGGAATAAGATACCACAGGAGGGCATTGACCACCTGATCAGAAGCATGCCTAGGCGCGTTGGAGAATGCGTAGCACATCAGGGTGCATCCACACATTATTAAAGGTCAAAGGGCTTTAAAGCAGTGCAATAATTTTGAAATTTTTATCATTTACTTATTATGCTTCATTAAGTACTTATACAAAATTTTATTAAAATAAAACCATTTAAACTGGGTGTTCGGATTTATATGTCACTTAGTATATCTCCATAACGAATAATTATATTCATCTAAGGCTTTGGCAATTTTATAGGATTTTAAATCACACATTGTATTTGGAATTTTCGAAAAGAAAAACATGAAAACCCTGACACCAAGCCCATATTGATAAGTAAAATTCTTCATCAAACACAGTTTTCGAGAAAAAGTAAAAGCAAAGTATCACTTTCTGCAAGATTTTTTAAAATTAAAAAAATCAGTCTGGTCATCTAATTTACAGACCTCGAATGTTCAAGATAAAAGTGGCATAAAAATTGTTCACTTATACGGCTGCTATGCGGACAAAAAATCGTGTTATTTCCTAAGGAAGCCTTAAAAGTTAAGAACCATCTACGTGCATGGTAAAGGTACAGCTAGATCACAAATACGCATCACAAAAAATGATCGGTACAGGTATATAAGTGGAAATGAGCGGTGCGGTGCGAGTTAGAAGCACCACCGATAAGGCATTAAAAGGAATATAACGATTTATAAAGATTTACTAACGAGCTGAGGAATGAAATTACCGGGCAAGAATGCGTATCGCGGCATAGCTGAGAACCCGTCTTACCATTTACAACGATGCTATTTTATCGAATGATCGGATGTGTGCAACTTGTACCCACTGATCGAGTATGATCGGCAGGACGAGCTGATTTTATTAACTTTTTTCGCGCGAAAATGCGGCGGCCGCGTAACGCAAAAAAAGTGTGAACCGACATACAGCGCCAGTTCTGACTTTAATTGACTTCATTATACTTTTGCGACATTATTTGACTTTCCATTGTCTTCCAACGAGTGTCAAGTGAACACCAAAAATGATAGTTACAGTGCTTATCCATCGAGAAACGACGTCGCACGTATCGACACCCGACTGTAGGAGATATTTAAAATTTTAAGGGTAAATGTACGGGGACATCTATGATGAGTGAAATATGCCTAATACGTGCGTAGAATTACTTGAGTTGAAGGCGTATAAATATACCAATGTAAAAAATGAGATATACTCCCCTCCTCCCCCTGCAACCCCTAATCCCTTATTTTTAATCCTTATGAAAATATTCAGGATCATCTGAATCGACAAAACACGAAGCTTAAGCAACTAATTTTTTTGTTGTTGGTCTTTTTGTAATTTTGTCTAAGAATGTTATATACGAGGGATGTCTTTTAAGTTTTGCATATGGAAATAAAACAACACGGTAGGTAGTTTTAAATGACTTTATTGTTTTTCGAAGTATTCTCCAGGAAGATTAATTGTCTTGGCGGAGGATGATTCTTCTTTCGGGGTTGATTTTTCGAAGCTCGGTGATGACTTTTGGCAAACAAATGGCGGTATACCAATCCGCAGTAACAGTTCTTTGCTCATTAAGAGGAATTGTTGCAATATGACCCGCTTTTGACACCAATGTCGCGACCATCTTTTTCGAAAACTTCGAGAACGGATTACTTTTGTTGGCTTTTCTTCACCTTGGAACACCCAAACAGCCGACTGTCGTTTATTTTCTGGTTCATAACAGTAAATCCACGATTCATCACCACTAACAATGCTGTACACATTTTTTGAGTTTCCGGAATTAAAACGGTCAAGC